GGGGCTCCTGGGTGGCTCAGTGGGTTAAAGCCTCTGCCTTCGGCTCAGGCATGATCTCAGGGTCCTGGGATCGAGCCCCATGCTCAGCAGGAAGCCTGCTTCCCTCTCTCTCTCTGCCTCTCTGCCTACTTGTGAACTTTGTCTGTCAAATGAACAAAATCTTAAAAAAAAAAAAAATACATGGCCTTGAATTTCTTTTAAGTAGGCTCCACCCCCAACAATGGGCTTGAACTCACCACCCTGAGATCAAGAGTTGAAGGCTTGGGCACCTGGGTGGCTCGGTGGGTTGAGCCTCTGCCTTCAGCTCAGGTCATGGTCTCAGGGTCCTGGGATCGAGGCCTGCATCGGGCTCTCTGCTCGGCAGGGAGCCTGCTTCCTCCTCTCTCTCTGCCTGCCTCTCTGCCTGCTTGTGATCTCTCTCTTTATTTATTTATTTATTTGACAAATAAATCAATCAATAAATAAAATAAATAAATAAATAAAATCTTTAAAAAAAGATTTTTTTGTCAAATAAATAAATAAAATCTAAAAAAAAAAAAAGAGTCAAAGGCTCTATGGGCTGAGCCAGCCAAGTGCCCCAGTAAATGTCCTTGAAGTTAAAATATATATATATATATTTTTTAAAGATTTTATTTATTTATTGGACAGACAGAGATCACAAGTAGGCAGAGAGAGAGAGGAGGAAGCAGGCTCCCCACCAAGGAAAGAGCCCGATGTGGGGCTCGATCCCAGGACTCTGGGATCATGACCTGGGCCGAAGGCAGAGGCTTTAACCCTCTGAGCCACCCAGGCGCACCTATATTTTTTTTAAGGTGGGAGGAACTGCCCGGCATGAGGCTCTGTAATTGGAGCCACGTGGAGGTAGGGCTGACGGGAGAGGAAAGTTCAGTCTTTCCCACAGATGGAGAAAAGTCAGGAAGGGCAGGGAGGCAAGACAGGCCGTTCTCTGAGTCAGAGGGAAGAGGCTACAGAAGCACGGAGGGCAAAATCTCCCATTTTGCACTTGACCCTGGTGACGCCCAGCCTCCCCCTGGGGTTGCTTGGACCCCTCACCCCCATTTCCCTCGCCTCCTCCTTCCACTAAATCATCACCCTGAGAGGTAAAGACACTTGTCTGAGGTCCCACGGCCAGCAAGTACTGAAGCTGGGATTGGTCGTAGACTAAGTGGAAGGGGCCAGAGAGAGAAGAGAAGATATATTTTTCCCTCTTCCGTATTTATTTGAAAAGGGTCATGTCACTACGCCAAAAACGGTGACTCGCTCCGCTAGACGAATCTCAATGACCAGAAGGGATTCCATGGGGATGATACTCTGGTGACCCGGAACGATAGGGGTGCAGTTCTCAAGATGGCCACACGGAGTCGCTGTTGGACAAGAATTCACTGTGTCTCCCCGTTCAGGATAGGAGGGACCTTCCCGGCTGCCTCTTTTTATTTTCTTGAAGGTATGAATTGTCCCAGTTAAGCAAAAATAGAACCATGGCACTTTCTCTCCCAGGCACAAGGTAAACTTAAAATAAAAGGACCGGGGCAGATATTTCTAGCGCTCACCGATTATTCAGGCTCACCTCCCCTTCCTCAATACAAGAAGACTGAGGTCCCCCGCCCGGCTAGGCAGATGGGCGGGGCCGTGCGTCTGTTCTGGCCAATGGGCTGCGAGGAGAGGGGATGTGCGTCACTTCCTGCCTGAGGCCTTTAAGGGCCGGTGCGTGGGCCTCTCCGCTCTTTCCCAGGCAGGTGCGCTGAGGATGCTGTGGGATTAGAGGCAGCGACGGAGCTCTCCAAAAGTTTAGATCTGCAACTGCTCTATAAGGGAACCAACCTGGGTGGCCCAGTCCGTTAAGCGTCTGCCTTCAGCTCAGGTCATGATCTCAGGGTCCTGGGATCCAGCCCTACCTCAGGGGTCTCTGCCCAGTGGGGAGTCTTCTCCCTCTCCCTCTGTGCACGCGCTCTCTCTCTCTCAAATAAAGAAAGAAAATCTTTAATATAATATAATTATATATATTATATATGCAATATATAATATGTTAATATTATATTATATATAATATATTAACATAATAAGGCAACCACTGGCAGATGTCATGCGTATTTGATTGTAAATTCATTTTTTATTTTTTAAAAAGATTTACTTTTTAGAGCAAGAGCATGCACCAGGGAGAGGGGCAGAGGAAGAAGGAAAGAGAGAACTTAATTAAGCAGGTTCCACACTCAGCACAGAGCCAGATGAGGGGCTCGACCCCACTACCCCAAGACCACCGCCCCAGCCGAAACCAAGAGTGGGATGCTCAATGGACTGCGCCACTCAGGCGCCCCTGAGTAAATTTAACTAAATAAAAACACATTCAGCTCCTCAGTGACACTCGCCACATCTCATGTGCTCTAGAGCACCCTGCGGCCTGTGGCTAAGTGTTGCACAGAAAGGTCCATCCTCACAGAAAATTCTGCTGGACAGTGCCTCTTCAGACCACGGAACGCACGCACAGAGGACAGCTGCCCTGGAGAGGAACTTTGCCTCGGTTGTGTTCATCTGCTGAGACCTGGGTTTGCTTTGTTTCCGCTGAAGCATAACCCAGCCTAGCCTCACCCATCGGACGTCTCGCTTAAAAGACCAATTGCCGGTTGGCAGCACAACACTAAGCCAAATGGAGAAGTGAGAGCTGGGGTGGCGTCACCAGGCAGCCCCCAATATGAGCCGAGCAGGCAGACGGGGTCAAGGTCAGGCTCCAACAAGTCTTAGCTGCCCACTTTCTGTGATCTGTCTTGAACTGGCTTAGACCTCAACCACAAAGAATTGTTTCCTAAGAAAAGCATCGGGATCGTTAGAAATGAAGACCTTGCTCAGGGATGGGGAGCACTCTTTCTCGTCGCTGTTGTTGGCGGTTGTCCTGTGACTTCTCCCGGATACCACGGCAAACAGACCCGCGCAACACAGGCACAGCCTCGTGAGCCATCGGCATTGACTTCAGGCAAGAACCACGGTGTCTCCGGAGTGAGAGGCTCAGGTCTGAGAGTTCGCCCGATGAGAACTGTATCTGAGTTGAGGCAAGTGCTCTCCATCCTTCCAAAGGCATTAAGAGCTCCCCAGTCCCGAGGGAATCTAAGGGTCTGTGTGTGACCCGCCACCACGGAGGTTGTAAAATACCGTTGCCATTGACCCAGCAATCTCGCTTCTAGGCGTCCACACAAAGGAACTCACGGCAGGAGTTCAGACACACCCCTGTGAGCTCGTGGTCTCGGGGGCAGGATTCATTCACAGGGGCCAAAAAATCTAGAAAAAACCTAAGTGCCCATCGGCGGAGGAGCCGACAAACAAAAAGGGGCAGTCCCTACAGTGGAATATTATTCAGCCGCGAAAAGAAAGAAATGCTGATCCATGCTACTAAGGGGATGAACCTCGAAAATGTTAAACTAAAGAGAAAGCAGCAAGACACAAGGCAAAGCCTTGTCCGATTCCATTGATATGACATCTTGGGACTAGGCACATCCCCAGAAATGGAAAGCAAATTACTGGATGCTCACGGTGGGGAGGGGAGGGGCTTCCCTCCGTGGTGCCCATGTTCTCAGATGGTGGGTGCTGATTGCTTGTTATCTGTGAATATAGTAAAGCCGTCAAATTAAGACACTTTAAAGGGGTGACTCAGTGGGTTAAGCGTCTGCCCTCAGCTCAGGTCGTGATCTTGGGGTCCTGGGATGGAGTCCCACATTGGGCTCCTTGCTCAGCGGGGAGCCTGCTTCTCAAGCTCTGCCTGCCCCTCCCCTGCTTGTGCTCTCTCTCAAATAAAATCTTTTTTTTTTAAAAGAAGGGGGAATGAGTTGTATGGTATGCGTTGTATCTCAATAAAGCTATTTTTAAAGGAAAAGAGTAACATTCGTCATAATCTCTTGTTTCTCCGACTCTTTTCCTCTGGTCTCCAGCCCCTGACCAGTCCCTAATACGGTTTCATGGGTGTCTCCAACTCAACAGCCTCAGAGAGTGGGACGTTTGCATCTAGATGCTTCTTTGTGGCATCTAGTGGGGTGGGTGTCCTCACCCCACCCGTGCCACCTGATGGCCCGGCTCAGACGACCTGAGAGAGGAATTGAGGTTAATTCGGTGTGACCCGTCTGCTTCAACACGATGCAGAGCTGGGCTCACAGAATTGCCAGAGCTCCCACTCTGTCGGCCCACAACAAGGGGTTGGAGCTGACAGAACAGCAACATCCTTGTTTGGGGGGCTTTTGTAAAGATCCTGGTGCACTGTACACAAATGAATTTTTGTTTGCGTGTTTTGGTAATTTCACTTTTCCGGGACACGTACAAACATTTAAGATAGAAACGGGCCTCCGTGAAAGGGGTTCCAAGATATCAAGTGGGTGGTCTGTTTGAAGCGAGACTGGAGGGCCAGCCTCCGTGTGGGTCTTATAAATGGTCCAGCCCCAGGAGGAGCTCCCAAGTGGGCTTCTGAAACTCCTGATCACTGCCCCCCCGCAATCCCCGACGGTCCCAATGCCATGGTCCAAGGGGCACCCGAGTCTCCAACCTCCCCGAGTGGCCCTAACACCCAACCCAGCACAGAGACAGAGTGACGGCTGACCACGGGGTCCTCAGCAAGCTTCATTCGCTGACAACATCCGCTCACCTTTCTCTACCAGGGGCTAATCCAACTCAACCAATTCCTAATTTCACCGTCAAGGGCGAGAGCCCACTTAGGATCCCAGTCCCCTGGCCGGTGGGCTCAGCCCTGTGACTTGCTCTAAGAGCCAACAGAACAGAGCATGGGAAGCACTCTCTGGGCTCTGAAGGTGGTGACCAAAGCCGGCTCTGCTGTCCCAGGACTCCCCTGCTTTCTGTCCCATCGCTGAAGTCACCAACCCACCCAGATGTGGAGGAGGGGAGCGAGCCCTGGCTCTCATGGGAGCCCCGTCACCATGGGCTGAAATCAGTGCCCCCCACCGCCCGCCTCAAGCTCACACGCTGATACCCAGGTTCCACGAGCAAAATGGAAACTCACAGACACATTCCATTAAACTCACCCAATGTTTAATGAATAGTGAACCGTTGACAAGTGTGCCAAAATCTGCAACTCACTCACCCGATCTCTCTCTCGCCCCCCCCAAAGAGAAGGAAGCCAGGAACAGGACCACCCCAAATGCCAGAGAGTAGCCAGGGGGCTGGGGGATTCAGGGAATGGGTGGGGAGAGGAAGGAGCAAGGCAGGGTGCAAAGTTACACTCCCGGGGGGCACATGTGCGCACGTGTGCGCGCGCACACACACACACACACACACACACAGGCAAGGACCAGGGGCGTCAGTCTCAGCCCCCACTCAGCGGCCGCAGGGACATCAGGGAAAGACCAGGCGTCCACGAGACATTTCAGTCCTTCCCGTCATGAAGCGTCTGCCACCAGGGGCTGGGCCAAGGTCACTGGACTGTGCAGAGAAGAGGTGAGGGAAGGGTGAGTTTACAGGGACCAAGACCAGTGGGGACCCCATGATAAAGGAAGAAAGACAAGTGAGGGGCAAAATGCAGTCCCAGGGAGAAACTGAGGCACGAGGACAACGGGATGCCCGTGAGAGAGAAGCTGTAATCCAACTGGCAAGGTGGGCCGAGACTTCGTTCTTAATAAATTTGGGGGTGGGGATGTGCTGCTGGGCAGCCACTAGCAGAGGTGAGAGCACACATGTCACCTGTGCCCCACGGGGACACAGCTCTCCAGACAAGCTGCCCACTGAAATGGGGTTTGGGGATGCCCGCGCCAGCTGCAAGCCCCAGAAAGACCTCTTCATGGCCCCGGACCCGCAAGGAGGACCCGCCTGGCCGCCAGCTCCTGGAAGGGGGGGATCTCAAAGCACTGGGAATGGAATGTCCTGCCTGGGTGACATCCCGGTTCACCTGGGGCCCTGGGCTACGGTGCCCAGCTACGCTAATGACATAATTTACAGCGGGGGCCTTGGACCACAAGATAGCAGCTCCTGCTTCTGGAAGGGCCGGAGGCCAAGGTCAACCACGGAGGGCGAGCTTCCCTGTGGTGATACTCCAACCACGGGGACAATGAGGGGTCCTGATGCCGCCCCATACTTCTCTTCACTGACTTTCATGGCTACCCTGCTGCTATGATCATCGTACCACCCGTATAACTTGGTGAGTCCCGAGTGTCCTTCTAGCGAATCCCGGAACCCGAGGGTGGTCTCAGGGACCCCGGAAACTGCACCCACAAAACATGCGAACAAGACCCACTGCTCCCTCTCTCCTTTCCCCAACGTAAGTCCCAAGTTTGCTCATGTGGAAGGAAAGCATCCACTGACGGCCCTCCCTGGAACCCCAGCCAACCGCGGGCTGATGTCAGGAGCCACCTGTCAATTCCCACTTCCGGCTTGAAGAACTGAAAGCCCCGCCCCACCCTCACAGCTGCCACCCTCACTGAGTCAGCTCAAGCCGCTTTGCAATTACATAATTCTTGATTTTCTCTGTTTAGGGGAGCCCTCCCTTCATCTCAGAGCTGCACAGGAGGCAAGATGCTGCTCTGTATCGCATTAATTCAATCTTCGTGTTCAAGTTCACAGCGAAGGTGACCTCACTCTGCTCTGCTAAAGGACTCTAGGAAACGGAACTTGAGTTTCAAGCATTTGAAAACCAGTTTTCTGGATCCAAGTCTCCTGGGGACAGGAAATTGGGTCCACTGTATACTGACGGAAGGCGGGGATGCTCAAAGAGAGAGAATGAGAGAGTGCTCTCGGCCGTCAGGAGCCAGAACCTGGTTCTGGAGTGGGCTAGCGTGGGGTGCCCAGTTTTGAGGGGTGGTTGGGGCTCATCTGGAACACACTGGCTTGGAAATGGGAAATCAGGCTCAGGAAGTCCTGAAAAGCAGTTCCGTGATCTAGAAAATAATACAGACAATGCTACCCATTCTGGATGGTATTGGGTTGGAAACGAGTCTTAGGTTCGGGTTATGTGGACCGCAGTGTGTACGAGCCGGGTCCCCCTCACCTCTGCCTTCAGGGCACATTAGCCCTGAGCCAAGGCGGCCTTGACAGCGGCCACCAGCTTCAGAAACTTGCTCTCTGTGTCCACGTAGCCATCACCTCTCTGGGGAGTGGAAGAAGAGGGAAGCAGTGAGATCCCAATGCCCAGCCAGCCTGAGAATAAGACGAGAAGGATGGACAGACAGACAGACAGCCATACCTTCTTGGAGTGAACCAACTTCCCAGCTACCATCACTTCAAAGAAGCCGGTGGCCTGGGGAGTTCCCTCGCCGCACTGGGGAGAGAGATGATGTTGGAGGGGTGGAGCGGCCCACCTGGGGACACCTGCACCTATGGGGTGAAGGGTGGGGCCAGCCCGAACCACCTGAGATACTGGGATCCCGCCCCCCTCAGGGCTGAGGGACACACAAGGAGACCCATCTCTGATTCTCCTCCCCACCACCAAGACTCACGATGTCCAGGCATCCCGGGAACTCATCTTCTAACTTCTTCTTGAGCTGAAGATACTGGAAAGGAGGTGCGGGGGTCAAAACAGGGGTCAACAGGGGCCACGCCGGCTCGCCCTCCTCCCTCATCTCCCAGGGACACCCTGGGGCTGGCCAGTCTGCTTACCTTGGACTTGTAGCCTCAAGCGCCACTGGTGGGAGGGAGTCCAAGAGAGTGGGTTCCAGAGGAGAGAGGGAGATGGTGGGGATCCAGGAAGAGGAAGAAAGTGGGGGGAAGAAGCAGGTGGGTGGCGGAGGGAGACACAAAGGGAAATGGAAGGGGGCCCAGAAAGACATGAAGAGGAACGTAGACAGACGACAAAGCCAAAGAGGGGACAGACAGAGGAGAGGACAGACACACAGAAAATGTTGACAGTGGCACAGGGACAGGGAACAGGAGGCAGACACCCACACACACGGAAAAGCGACACCCAACAGAGGAGCCAAGCAACAGAGAGGGGGCGCAGAGCAAGGGGGTGACAAGGAGAGACCACAAGTATGAGACACAGGCGGAAAGAAAAGAAACAGAAAATGGGGTTAGGATGAGAAGCAGAGAAACAGCATCCCCACCCACAGCCCGGGGAGAAAGTGTCCTGAAAACCTTTACTCCTGGATCCCCAGGTCCTCCCAGCCCTGAGGCCAGAATCCAAACGCCTCCCCAACCCCCACAGCAGGCTATTTCAGGAGTGGAGTCTGGCACAGGCCTCCTGGGGGCCTCAAAATATCACTCCTCTCTCTGTTTTGCGGAGGGTGAGGGGACATTTCTAACCCGCCCGCATTTCTAGCTCAGCCTTTCAAAACCAGCAGCTGCCCCAGGGCATTTGACTCACGCTGGGACATGACCCAACCCCAACCTCCTCTATAACGGAAGACAGAACTAATATTCTCCTGCAAGCACTTTCTGGGAGGAGAAATGTGCGGAACGTGCATTTACTAGGCGCCCACAGGCAGGCCTGCCTATGCAATTGGGACGGGCGGGGGCCGTAAGGAGCAGTCAACGAGAAAATCCCCGTCCACTCGGGACGTTTTCACGCTAGCGAGGAAGCTGGATCAAACATGCACTCCCTTCCGCGGTCCCTACCGAGATCACTCTCTCTCCCTCTGCAGATGGGGAAACCCAGGCCTGAAAGTGAGGATTACTAACGATGGGCACCCACCGTCTTCATTCCTTTCAAACCCACGCTGGAACCTTCTCGAACCTTCCCGACTCTCGCCGTCCCCACCCTATGACTGTTAAATGGTACTGGGGGAGGGGAAGCCTAAACGTGCAGAAAGGTTCCGCTCCCGTTACAAAGGTGACCCCCACCCCCGGCTCCGCAAACGGAGCCCCCCGGAGTCGAGTGTCTTAAATAGCCTCACACGTGTCTCGGTTCCACCTTCGGAAACCTGAGCTGTCCTGAATGCCACGCACCCGGGAGGTGGACCAACGCCCTTCCTTCGCGCCAGTCCCCACACGCCCACCCCACCCGTAGGGAACCCCTTTTCTCGGGCAGGGAGCCCCGTGGGTCCAGCCCCCAGTCCCTAGGGCCCAGCACCGTCGGGCCGAGGAGGGGTCCGGGCAGGGGTCGCGGAGGGGGCCCCCGGCCGTCGTGCTTACCAATAAACGACTCGGATGGCGAGGGCCATGGCTGGGGACCGCAGCATGGGCGGGACGCGGACAGCGACCTACCCGCGGCTGGCACGGACGCACTCCGCGGCTCCGGGATCTCCGCACAAAGGTTGTTACTCCGCTTTCCACGGCGCGAACCAACGCGGGGGGCGGAGCGGGGACGGCGGGGGCCGGCGGGTCCCCACGGAGGGAGTGCAGGGACCCTGTGACCCTCCACCGTGAGCCCCCACGCAGCCCCTTCCCTTCCCCCGCTGGGGTCGGGCCGCGTCCGACAGAAGCCCCCGGGGAAGCCTCTGCGCGACCCCTCCCGGTCCCCCCTCCGGGCCGGAATGGTACGGCCCCGCGGGGCGGGATTCGGGACCGGCGGATCCGCAAAGAAAATGGAATTGCCAAGGAAGGTGGTGGTTTTCCAGTGTGGGTCGGGAGGGGGCGGCTCTCGGGCCCCTTTTCTGCCTGGGAGAGGGTGGGAGGGCCGAGCTGGAAAGCACTGGGGGTGCGCAGGGGCCCGACCGGGAGGCCCAGGTTTCCTGCGAGCGCTGCAGGGCCGCCGCTCCCTTATGCGGGCAGGGCCGCTGGACCGGGCGCCGCCTGAGCGGCGAGGCGAGGGGCTCAGGAAAGTGCTGGAAGCGGGCAACTAGCTAAGGGATTAATTAGAGCGTGGGCGCCTCTCCTAGCCTCAGTTTCTCTGTGCGGAAGATGGGCATAATCGCCTTCAGGGACGACTCATTCATTTAACAAATATGTAGTGCGGGCCCACCTGCAGTCCGCGATGAAAATATAGACAAAATCCCTTCCCTGCTGGGAGTGATTTAGCCTGCCGGCTGGAGGACATAAGGGGGTTGGTGAGCGAGTGTCTGGCACTTGCAGAAGGCTCAATAAAGACCAGATCAGCTGAGATCTTCCTGCCCCCGCTTCTGTCTCTGGCTCTGGTCCTTGGTCCTCGCTTGCTATAACCCTGGCTCAGGGGGGATGGCAGACAAGGTTCAAGTTCCATTCCCCCTCTGTTGTGTGACTTCTGATCCCCTTGGTCTTGGAAGGATAATAATGAGCCTGGGATATAGAGCACCCAACAGGGCTGTGTGCAATCAATGGCCCCTAAACAGAGATCTTCCAGAGCCATCAGAACAAAAACCCAAATCTTGGCACCGTCTGCCCCTGTCTGGTCCCATCCTTCCCTCCTTGCCCTATCTCCCAGTGCCCTAGCCACATCGAATCACCGCGATCCCATCTCAGACCTCCCCTGCCTTCCTCCTTCTCGGCCTTGGCACGTGCTGTTTCTCCCCTCTCCTGCTGCCACAGTCGCGCTCATCAACAGCAATCAGCTCCGATGTCGCCAGCTAGACGCCAGGACCTGACCTTGACTGCCCACCTGCTGGTACTCATCGACCTTTGTTCCACATTTTCTCTTAAGCTCCTCTTTTCAGCTTGTCTCTTAACTCAGGCAGATGGAAAGCAAAGCCACTCCACCAGCCATAGCAACTGCCCTAAAAAGACCTCCAGACCCCCCAGACCACCCTGGGGTGGGGTTAAGCTCCCCAGACTCACACCTGAGCAGATGGTCGGAGGATGGAGTGATCCCTAAAATGACAAGTACCTTTATCTCATTATAATACTGAAATCTCCACACAAGGAGGAGCACAAGCCTCATTTACATAACAGCCAACGCGTGTTCCGGCACGTTGCCTTAAAGCGCATGCGCGACCTTGTGCCCACCTCTACGTAGCATGAACTACTACTCATCCTAACCCTACTTGAAAGACCCCACCGAGCCTTGCTTGGGAGTCACTTTTGGAAGCCCTTCTCCGTGATCTCCTCTTATTTGCTGCAAATAAACTTGTCCTTGTCCTAGTGTCGTTTCTGACTCACCGAAGAGAGAACTCAGGGTGGTTCCGTTACAATCTTATCAGGAAAACATTGTGCTTCCTGGGAAAGCTGTGCCTTCTGCATAGTACATCTGTATTTGTTTGTCTGTCATCACAAAGTACGTGGCTTAAGCCACTGAGAGTTGGTTCCCGGTTCTAGAAGTCAGAAGCTGGGAGATCCAGGGGCGCCTGTCTAGCTCAGTCTGTGGAGCGCCGGACTCTTGATCTCGGGGTTGTGATTTTGAGCCCAATGCTGGGTGTACAGGTTACTTAAAAATAAAATCTCAAAAAAAAAAAAAAGAAAAAGAAATAAAATAATATAAAATCTCCAGGCGCCTGGGTGGTTCAGTCGTTGAGCAACTGCTTTAGACTCAGGTCGCTTCCCAGGGTCGTGGGATCGAGCCCCGCAACAGGCTCCTTGCTCAGCAGAGCGCCTGCTTCTCCCTCAGCCCGCTGCTCCCCCTGCTTGTGCTCTCTCCCTCTCTCTCTGACAAATAAATAAATAAAATCTTTTAAAAACTTTAAAAATTTTTAAAAATTAAAAATTAAAATAAAATAAAAAGCTAAAAAAAAAGAAAGAAAGAAAAAGAAAAGAAAAGAAAGAAGATGGAGATCAAGGTGTCCATACAGTTGATTCCCTCTGAGGGCTGGGAGAAAGACTTCATGCTTTTTTCCTTGCTTGTGGTGTTTTGCTGGCTATCTTGGTGTTGCTCGTAAAAGTGTCACTTGGCTCTCTGCCTTCATCTTTACATAGCATTGTGTGTGTCTCTTTCTCCACATTTCCCCATTTTATAAGGACATAAATCATATTGGATTAGAGACGCCCGCCCCTCAGTCCAGTAGGACCTCATCGTAACTACCAACATCCGCAAAGAACCTATTTCCAAATAAAATCACATCCTGAGGTCCTGGGGGCTAGGACCTCAACATACATGAATCTGGGGCAGGACGCCATTCAGCCCAGAACAAATCCTTCCAAGCTGTGGGCCGTTTTATAATCCTGTCCATTGGGGTACCTGGGTGACTCAGTGGGTTAAAGCCTCTGCCTTCAGCTCAGGTCATGATCCCAGGGTCCTGGGATCGAGCCCCGCATTGGGCTCTCTGCTCAGCGGGGAGCCTGCTTCCTCCTCTCTCTCTGCCTGCCTCTCTGCCTACTTGTGATCTCTGTCTGTCAAATAAATAAATAAATAAATAAAATTTTAAAAAAAATAATCCTGTCTATTGCGGATACGTGGAAGCAATGCACAGTAATTCTCTGTGTGGCTTATAAGCGACAAACATTAATGGGGGGGGCACAAATATTCAGGCCATAGCACCTCCCCAAATGTTCTGCCTCCAATATTGGCTTCAACCTTCCCAATCTGTAAATGTGTCTGTTCTTCGAGCGTCCTCTGAACAGGGGGAGCCCAGCCTCGACCTCACGTTCACTTTTAGATCTGCATGTGTCATTCCCAAAACCCATCCTGTAACAATCGTCCTCCAGCAAGGTCTTCTGAGCCTGGGTCAGGGTCGGGGTCCCCTCGACACTCCCCCTTCTCTGCTGCCACTGTCGCTCTGGTTCTCACAGGTCTGGTGACCCCCCCGGCTTTCCCAGCGCACCCAGCCAGTGGCCGGGCACAGCACAGAAGCTCTGAGTGTTTTGTTGGCCAGGCTCTGGGCTGAGACCTTGCCAGGAGCTTCAGAGAAAAGGAACACCAGCCCCCCTCTTCTGCCCTGAGAACAAAGGGGTCTCTTGTCCAGAAGTTGGGGAGGCCGGAAGAATTAGTAGTGGTTTTGGGGGGCTGGGACTCTCCCTCTCTCTCTCATACACATGCACATAGACCAATGGTAACACACAAGGACTCACCCCCACCCGGGTACACAACTGCACAGCAACCAAACAGCAACCCAGCCAGAAACACAGTAACGCAACAGCCTACACCTCTCCAGTCGGCCGCGCAATGACACCAAAGGCACACCAGGACCTCTGCAGACCACAGCCGAGCCAGGGCCACCAAATGTGTCAGACCCAAGGGCAGCCACCTCCACACACACACAGGGGACACACAGCCACATTCCAGACACACAAGAGCGCAACACAACGCGATCCAGCCAGCGGCTCAGCAGCTCACCCCAAGATCCAGCTCACTGGGGACGTATGACTGCAGACAAGGCACATCCTGCAGAATGAGGCCCCAGGCGCTGACACACAACGCAGGGTCACTGAGGCTGGCCGGCATGGCCTCCCCACCCCCAGCAACACACAACTCCACCGGCCCAGGGGACAGAAACAAATATGTACTACGTGAGGGGCATTGTGAGCGCTGGGAAAGAAAATAGAGCCAGGAAGGGTGGCGGGCAGGGCTGGGGCAGCAAGTTTTATAAACAGAGCGAGGAAGCGGCTATGTCCTTCATGAGAGTATCCTGCCCTTGAAGAGACAAGAACTGTGATGGTCCCATTTCACAGATGGGCACACTAAGGCACTCACCTGAGGCCGGGTGAGCCCAGCATCAGGCTGCGGAACCAGCTTCCTGTGGGCAAGATGAGAAAGGTGGGGTCAGGTTGAGCGGGGCCCAAGGGTGTTCTCAGGGACCCCGAAAGCCCCAGGGGTGAAAGAGGCCTGAACTTCTGAGGGTCCAGGACGCCCAGTCTGCCTATCCCGGCCCCAGGGAAGATGTTGCTCAAGGCTTTGTGTCTGATGTGTCCCTGGAGCGTGACACGCCGACCCCTGCCTGTTCTTCGATGTCTTCAACACCGGGTGCAGGTGAGGCCAGCAGCCAGGCCACCTCTGTCTGTCTGTCTGTCATTCTGCAGGGGGTCAGGGCCACCCTGGGACTCCTTTTCATTCCCCCTACCCCCATCCAGGGAGGACCCCTGAGCCCCGAGCAGACTGTGCCCCAGATGGGGAGGACCCCGTCTCCTCCATTCTTGGGACCCACATGAGCCGAGGCCCCCTTTTTACTGGGGTTATCGATCTTCTAGGTTATTAGTTTTTAAGAGTTCTTTACATATTCTAGCTCCAAGTCCTTTGCTGGAGATAACGTTTTGCAGACACTTTCCCAGTCGGCGGCGTGCCCTCCCGGTCTCACAGTGGCATCTTTTGGAGAGCAAAGGATTTTAATTTTGATGAAGTCCCATTTCATTTTGCTTTAATCATGCTTTGTCCCTTTTTGGTGTCACACCTAGGGTATCTCTGTCAAACCTAGGGCCACTAAGATTTCCTCCAATGTTTTCTTCTGGAAGTGTTTGTGGTTTTTTTTTTCTCTTCTTTTAGATCTTGTGTTTTCTTTCCCTCAC